TTTTTTTTTTTTTTTTTTTTTTTTTTTTTTTTGTTTATAATACCTTAGAGAAATTTTTTTTTTGAAAATTATTAAAGTTAAAGGATGTATCACATTTACCATATTACATCAATACACTTTTGTTGAAAAATTTACACTTATTTGTAATATTACCACAAACAAAATTTGACTAAGGTTTTTCTTTGTGCTTACTCATTTATCTGTTTAATTATTTATTTATTTATATTCTACTCAACTATCTACTTATTTGTCTACTTTATCTATCTATCTGTCTAATCTTCTAAGTATTTTCAATTTTGCAGCAACAGCAGCAGCAACAGCAGTAGCAGCAGCCGTGGTAGCAGCAGCAGAAGCAACAGCAGTAACAGCAGCAATAGCAGCAGTATTAGCAGTATCAGTCAGATAGCATTAGGTTATCGAAATATTGGCCATATATTTCAAGCGATGTTTTTGGATGACAGATGTCAGGATTACGACTGTGAAAAAGATGTTGATTTTTTCAACAACAATTTTGATCGAAAACGCAAATCCTCAACTGAAACTTTAAATCGGTAATGAATGAATTGAAAAAAAGACCTCTTTACAATTTGGTTTTTTCTTTTTTTTTTTTTTCTACAATGTAATAAATGAACAAAAAGCTTTTTTTATTTAAATTTTATTGAAATGATGGATCTCCTAAGTAGTTTTATAAAATTTCAACATTTGGGTACGTCGTCGTATTCTTCTATTCTTTTTCAGATTTTCTTTTCCCCCACTGCTTATTTAGTTTATCCAAAGTTCAAATTTGTTCCTTACACTTTTAGTTTGAATTGTTAGGCTTCAAAAAATGGAAGAGACGATTGAACTAAAGAATTGAAACTTTTTTTTTTTCTTTTTGGTACTGACGATGATGGCGATGGTGGTGGTAATTTTGGTGTGGTATTGGTGATAAACCACTAGTATTTTCCTCCTGTTATTTCTTTGTTGTTCTGTTGCTGTAGTTGCTGTCAAACCTTTGCTTACTGGAATAGGAAACTCAAGAAAAATAGTTGAAAAGAAAGCTGACATTTTGACTGTTATCATCCATCTTCATAATTGTCGTAGATGTTATAATAATCATATCAGTGATCACCATTACCAAAATTGGCATTATCGTCATAATCACGAGTAGTAAAATTGTCATCGCTGTTGCATTGATCAGATTTGTCAAGCAAAAATTTTTGACAGTTTTCTGAAAAACTTTAATATGGTGTGTTTTTATTCGAAATACGTCGACAGTTGCTTTAAAACGACAATCATTACACCGTTTTTGTCACTTTTTTTTGAATATTTTTGTTCTCGTTTTAAACCTTCTTAAACAGTGTTTTGTAAAAAAGTTTGAGATCAATTGAAGATGACATTGTGAAGAGAAGGTATATGATTACAAATAGGCAAAGTATTTTATTTTGCTTTTTTTTTCGTTTTTTTTTAATGGTTATTTGTTCTAACTTTTGCATAAAAATGTTGTCTAACTACAATTTGATTAAGGCTTATATTGGTAGCGCAAGCATTGGAAACTGAAGTTGTGGCACGTCAAAAAGTGGATATTAGTGCAAGTAAAATAATATTTTCGATACGTCTTGTTAATTTAGTAAGTTTTTTTTTTTTTAAATTTTATTTCTTTTCTTTTACAAACGCATTCAATTTTGGTCATTTTCTTTCTTCTATTTATGTTTTAAATTTTTTTACATTTATTGATTTGGTCATGTTTGTTTTGTTCATTATTATATTATTCATAAATTTTACTGTTTGAAAAATTTGTTGTCAACAAAACGGGAACAAACAGTTTAAACAATGTTTCTTATTTATCAGGAAAATTTAGCGCTTTTTTTTTTGCTGTTTATTGCCATCATCGTCATCGGCATTGTTGATGATAGCGGTGATGGTGATGGTGACACGGTGTTGATGTTGTTGACATTTATATGCTATATCCACTGACAGAAAAATTTACTATGAATTGATGATAACTGACAAATACAGCACTTATGCAAATTACGCTGACCTTAGTAAATACCGTTACGAGTTTTATTCTTAAGCTTTATCTGATGCTCAAACTGAACAAATTGCTGTTATAAAAATTTTGTCTGATGAGATACTGAAGGGAGAGTGAATTTTTTTTCATTTTAGCTTTATAGTTGAAGCAGTTTCAATACCTTAGACATATAAATATTGTAAAATAACAGTTTTTTTGTTGTTATGAAAAGAAGTTGTTTGTTCACAGCGGTCAAGATATATTTGTTGATCTTAGTTAGTCGGCAAAGGAAGGAGAAATTTCAGAAGAATAATTTGAAATTACATTTGAATGAAAAAATAAGACGAAGTAAAGGAAGAAGATAGAGGGAAATAAATGGACCGCAAAACATGAAGACAGATTCCGTTAAATTCAGACTATCTTTTTAGACGTCAGTTTTAAAAATCTTAGGTTATTTTTTCTACTTAAATATACTTATGTGTTTTTTGAATGCATAAGAAGCTTTTTTCTTTTGTCCTTGTTTCAGTTCATTTTTGACAACTTTTATTTGTCTAGGTTCTGTTTTTTTTTCTGTAATTCAAAAGTCTGGTAAGCATAGATACTAGTTGAACTAATTGTAGACGAATAAAATAAAATAGAATAGTAAAAAAAAAAGAAGAAGAAATCTAAATTTCTGTTCAAGAGGACAATATTTTTCTGACAAGTCAAGGAAACTAAACTTATGCGAAACGGTCGTTCAGTTGTTTGATAACTGATAATTTAAGAAGAGTCTGCTCTTTTCTCGATTAAGAAGTGGTTTGAGGAGTTAAGAGAAGAAAAAAAAAAGGATGGTAAACGTTGTTTTTTTTTTTTTTTTTTGGGGTGGGGGGATTATGGTAGAAAATTTTGATGTATAAGATTTGTGATGGGAAAAATCTTGGTTGATTATGCTTAAACTATGATTAATCTACTATTGCTGTTGTTGCTACCGCCATCGCCATCACAGCTAATCAGCGGTTTTTCTCCCTACTGAGTGAAAATTCTGGGAACTAAAAGCTTTCGTTGCCCATTATAAGTGTATTTAGATTTGTATTTAAAAAATTTTAATTATTCAAAGGTTTAATCAGGAGATTTTGATGTAATTTTTATTCCTGTGTTACCTTAGTAGACAATAAATTAATAATGTTATTTCCAGTCAAAGTAAATAATAAGGTCATTGTAACAAACATAAACACACAGACACAAATAAATGGTATTGTTAACCAAATTCTACTTGATTTGAGACAACTGAAGTGTTCATATTTATATCTTTTTCCCATTTTTTCGAATTTGTTAAAATAACTAGAATAATAGTAGACTAATAATTAGTCATAGAAATTTAAAACTTATTAGTAATTTTTTTGTCACATTTGCTATTTTTAGTCTATAAAACAGTTAAATTTTATCGGTTAAGCAATCAATGAACTTAAAAGAATTTCACAGTTTATAACTGTTAATTTACAATTGTCTTACAAAAAAAAAAAGAAAAGATAATGATAGTTTATTGGATGTACCTTTTATCTTACTAACTCTTTTTTTCTGCACGTTTCTTATATCATATCACTGAAAAGTAAAAATGATAACTTTGCAGATATTGTTGATTATAATAAATGTACTTATTTTGACGGGATTTGGTCAATACAGTCATCATCAGGGCCGTAAACAATCATTGATGTTAACAATTGATAAGTGGATTTATTCAAACAGTTCATCGTTGCCGTTAACATTTTCACGGATGATACTAAGCGGTCAATATATTGCTTCAGCATTTTCTGTATTATTATTGACGTCTACAGTTTTTCTAGAATATATCCATCTAAAACGTGGAAAAAATCCACGTTTTTTGGTAGGTATTACATGGTATTTGTTAATATTTTCATTGATACATGCCTTAAAAATTGAAAATAATTCAATTTTAGCTTGTTGCAAAATTATTATTTTACTGTCCCACTAACAATTTAGCTGATAATCGGTAAGCAAAAACGAGTTATAAAAAAAAAAAAAGAAACAAAAACGAAAACGAAAACAAAAGCAATTCTACAAATTACTGTTTACCCTAAGCTTTATCATTAACTTGAATGTCCCAAAATCTATGATCAAATCGAAAAAAAAATTTTTTTTTTTTTGAAAAGAGGAGGAAGACAAAGATTTTGAAATTGGAAAGGAAACCTTTAAATCTGCTTGGAAAAGCAGGTGTAGTAAAAAATCATTTTAGCTTAATTTTCTTAAACTACTACCAGATTGAGAGCTTTGAACTAAAATTTAACGTGAAGCTTAAAAGAAACAGCGATAAAAGCAGTAAAAAATAAAATTTTTTTGGTAATTATTTTTGACATTTATAATTTCACTGTAATTTATTCAACAACAAATAATAAAATTGATCTTTTTCAGAGAAACTATTTTCTACTTCTTCTGTATAAAAAGGAGCAGGAGTAATAAGAAATAAAAAAAGACTAGATTTAGAGCTTTTTTTTTTTGATAAACCAGTTCAAGAAGAACAAAAAATGAAATTTGAAATGTCGAAAGTAGACATGTATAAAATAACAAAAAAAAAAAAACAAAGAAGAAATAGGTTACATTTTTAATAACACTTATAAATTATTTACTTAAAGCGCATTTGTTGCTTTTACCGATCACTGATCAGCTCTAAGCTAAGTACATCTGTAAATTTCGAGCAGTGAGATAA